CTGCCCGGTGTGGATATACACTCAGAGTAACATCACACAAACATCTTATTCACCTGAGTACATTACACCAACACAGCAGATTACATGATTATTAGATTACACTGATATCGAAGGAACTAGACTCAGTTCCGAAATATCGCTTACTCGAACCGTCCTGACCGCGTAGCTCAGTTGGAAGAGCATTGGGCTAGTATTCCAAAGGTCGTAGGTTCAAATCCCGCCGTGGCCAGGCATATTTTTCAAGCCTGCCCGGTGTGGATATACACTCAGAGTAACATCACACAAACATCTTATTCACCTGAGTACATTACAGCAACACAGCAGATTACATGATTATTAGATTACACTGATATCGAAGGGGCTAGACTCAGTTCCGAAATATCGCATACTCGAACCGTCCTGACCGCGTAGCTCAGTTGGAAGAGCATTGGGCTAGTATTCCAAAGGTCGTAGGTTCGAATCCCGCCGTGGCCAGGCATATTTTTCAAGCCTGCCCGGTGTGGATATACACTCAGAGTAACATCACACAAACATCTTATTCACCTGAGTACATTACACCAACACAGCAGATTACAGGTTTACAATGATTTTCAAGATATTTTAGTGAGAATTATTGCAAAATTTAAGCACAAACAAAATCATAACATCACCGTTATAGTCTAGCGCGTGTTTTATACTGACAGCTAGATTCCGGGATAAATTGTTATTTTTCAAACTTTAAAAGTTATTCACGGCACATATTTCTGTTGTGATGGTTTGTATTGTGCTTTAGTTTGTATATCTAAGTTATCTAACTCATTTTGTTCAGTTTTGGTATGAAATACGGTTTAAAATGTCTTTTGACAGTTTGTTTACGTTTGCTATTTTTAGTAGTTTTGTGACATAAAACTGACATTTGAAGTAAGAGTATTTTTCTGGGAGGTCGCGTAATTTTGAAAACGGGTGTAATAACCAGTAATGCTGAACCCTCCAACAAGGAATATAAGTAATTAAATTTGTCAATGCTTGACAAACTTGTATTCTTGTGGACAGCATTTTCAAAACTATCCCCAAATGGTTGAAATTCAGTAATATCTCCTCTGAACCGGGGTAAAGTTAACTTTGGAAGCTTCGTTTTTCACCATAACCTATGACGTAATTTCCACTTGATTGACTGGTTGCTGGACTACTAGGGTCTGGGTGAATTAAGGTTGGGTTACTTGGTGTAGGATCTTGGGTTGAATTAACATTATCCTGTTCGTTTATTGTTTCATTATTGACATTAATTTCAGAAGAAATTTCACCTACCTCTGTTATTTCTACTTGCGGGATATTTTGACCAGCTATAGATATATCGTGAATAGGTGTACTTTTCCCGTATCGTCGATTTTCTTCGCAAAAAAACTTGGATATTTGTCTTTTAACATCAAGAACTCGTGAATTTAATTCCTCGGATACTTCAATCTCGTTTTCTATTTCTTTAACTTCGCACAACTGTAAGATTTCTTCGTCGAATTTCTTTACTACTTGTAATTTTTCCTCAAGAAGATCGTGCAACGTGTTTAAACGATCCTTCGTATTTTCGTCGATATTTTCTCCATTTGCCAATAATTCCTTCGCTTCATTACTGTATTTCGTTATAACTGCTCTGTTCCCACGACGGGTAGCCTTTTTCCTTTCTAATTGATCGGTCATAGCGCTAAAACAAAACTTTTTCGATAAACTAAAAACGCGTTGCCGTGACGTTGGGCGCCATGTTTGAAACTTATATATTTCTAATATTATTACATGAAGTATTACGATAACAAATAAATTTAAAAGTAATGTTGCGTAATCTGTCACACAACTGGTTTAGGTCCTATTTACATGACCGCAATAAAAAATGTTATGTCAATGGTCATCTGTCCAGTCATCGCTTATTGCCTTGCGGTATCCTGCAAGGGACTATCTTGGGGCCTTTGCTTTTTCTTATCTACATTAGTGATTTACCAAATTGCCTGACACATTCCCAACCACGTATGTACGCCGATGACACTAATTTAACATTTGCTAGCAATAATGTTGATGACATAGACTGTAAGCTTAATCAAGATCTTGATAATGTCAATAAATGGCTCATAGCCAATAAGCTAACTCTTAATCAATCTAAAACAGAGTTCATGCTAATTGGGTCAAGACAAAAATTAAGCACGTTACACTCGGCCCCTTCCTTAAGCCTGCCGCACACGAGAGCTATCTGCTGAGCAAAAAGTTACTCGTGCCTGTTAGCTCAGCCGATAGCTCACCGTGTGCGCGTACATTTTACTGAGTTTTTTGCCTCATGCAACCTTTTCTCACGTATCAAACATGTTTGATCGGTGAGCTATCAGCTGAGCTAACAGGCACGAGTAACTTTTTGCTCAGCAGATAGCTCTCGTGTGCGGCAGGCTTTAGCAATCAATGGGCATCCTGTTCGCCAAGTTTCTCAAACGGAGTCCCTTGGGATGAAGCTTGATGAAAACCTGTCTTGGAATGCCCATATTAATGATTTAATAAAAAAGATTGCTTCTGGTATTGGTGCTTTGAAACGTGTACGATCTTTTATTCCTGCTACAACGTTGATGCTTGTTTACAACGCTCTAGTTCAGCCTCATTTCAGCTACTGTTGTTCTGTTTGGGATAACTGTAATAAAACTTGCTGAAAAGCTCCAAAAACTACAAAATCGTGCAGCCAGGGTATAAACATTCTCTAGCTATGACACTAATGCCGATTCACTCTTTGAAAATTTCAATTGGAAAAAACTTTCCTTTCAGCGTAAAGTTCAAAAGGCTGTAATGGTCTATAAATCTCTTAATGGTTTAGCTTCCGACTATATGCACTCCATGTTTACTGATCGTGAAAGTGTAACTTCAATCCAATTGCGTGACACTGAGAATAAATTAGCTGTTCCTATGCCTCGCACAAACTATTTGAAAAACAGCTTTAATTATAGTGGTGCTGTGCTGTGGAACAGTCTTCCAATCGGGTTACGGCAAGCACAGTCCATTGACAATTTTCGAGCGGGCTGTAGAAGTCTTTTATAAATTTTATTGGGTATTTTTAATACACGACCCTCATGGAAAGCAGGTGTGGAGGTAACTTTGAAATCATTGTAGTTTTTGTAATATAGTTTAGTTAATGTATATAATGTAAATCCTGATGAGTAATACCGTGCCTAAATAAAGTTTTAATAATAATAATAATAAATAAATAAAAGCTATAATTTACACAGTGGCAGCTCGTGAATCTATTTTTAAACAGAGTAAACAATACATAATTTGTGCCTACCTTGTGAGAAAAGTCTACAACAATAAAACTGGATCGGACGTGCGCAAAGTATTGGTATAGTCTATGGTAACAATATAAAAATTTGCCGTGCTTGCATCAATGGCATGCATGTAAACAAAGATAGACCTACTCGCTATTTATATGAGTGCTTCCGCTTTTTTTGAAATATATATATATATATATATATATATATATATATATATATATATATATATATATATATATATATATATATATCAGTCTCCAAAATGCGATATGCAACCATGCAGATCTACATGCATGAACTGATGTATAAAAGTACAGCCGCTTATGACTCTGCACAAACATGTAGAATATATAGCGCTTAGAATGCAATTTCAATTCAATATTGTAACATATAGTAATCAATTTTTCATGCTGTTTATATCTTGTTCTATCTTGAGACTTTGCACTATCCTTGAATCACTGGTAGACAGAACAGATCCACCAAACGTGCAGTCATTGAACTTACACTAACAGACTTACTAAAGCAATCGATGACAGTGGCGTAACTACTGTACTAAGGGCTCAGACTGGGCAAACCCGGGGGCCCCCAAGCCTATTAAGCCGGTTTTCCACTAGGCGGAATTTTGCGCGCGGAGCGGAATTTTTCTTTGTTTTGTGATATCTCGGGTGGAACTAATTAGAAAAGACAAAGAAAATTTCCGCTGCGCGCGCAAAAGGGAGCCCTGGCAAGAATGTAAACAAAAAACATTTGCACAGAAGTCTTCTGCATGATTCCTTGTTTCGGGAATCAACTGAAGCGTATGTGAAGTGTTTCTGAGGTACTCTACCTGTTAAAAGATGTGGACCTCCAGGCCTTAAAATATCTTTTCCAGAGCCGTCTGACAAAATGTCCGGTGACGTTGAGTTTGGGTCGGACATATGTCCGATGACCTTCAGTTCATTTTTGACTCGGAAATAAGTCTGAATGACACAAATGAATAAACGGTAAATGTTGTAAAAATATTAAATAATTTGTTTCTTTCATACTTATTTCCAAGCCAAAATTGACTTGCTTTCCAGAACAGTATCAAAAAGACTTCGACAACTTAAGCCCGTTTCCCACTTCACCATTTCGCTCGCTGCCCCGTGCTCGACTACGTTAAAACAACATTTCCAGTTGACCTTTTATACAATAGTACTCTGATTTTCCATTTAACACACAAGCCTCTAGTCCTGGGTACATTTTGATTTACGTCGGACAAAGCTACAGTTCGGTCGAACACCAATACACTCGGGTCGGACGAACAATAAACCTCAGTTTCACTTAGGTCGGACAGAATGTCCGGTGGTTTCCTCTCTACGTCGGACAATTTCACGAATGGGTCGGACAATGTCCGTGACCGACCGATATTTTAAGGCCTGGGACCTCAGTATCTAGCTAGTACTCCAAGTTGTTATCGGCTGTTGTCATATTTATCACTCTTCCAGCAGGGCCTTTTTAACGCACAAGCTCGGGGGTGGGGGGGAATCACATCCCCCGCCCAGGAAAAGTCCCTTTTTCCAAAATTTATACAAACGACCCAGGGAAGAATAACAAACGGGAAGTAAGGTTTAGGCTTTTTCCTTTGTCCTTGTTTAACAAAATCGATTTAAATTGTTACGTTTCTCTACCACTAAGTAATGATAAATTATTGTTAATAATTTTTTATTTTTTTGTGCGTTTTTTTCCTTCTTTTATTTCAAATGCAAGTATAGTTAGCATAAATTTTAGAGCAGACTTGGATGCTCAGAATGCAGGAAATGGCATTTCCTGGTTGAAATTTCAAAAATTTGCGGGGAGAATATGCCCCCAGACCCGCCTATTCATGCGTGGTATGTCGGCCACATGTGGGCCATGTGGCCACATGCGGGCCATGTGGCCACATGTGGGCCATGTGGGCCATGTGGCCATTGCTATCCCCTTCTAATAGATTATCTCACAAAAAGGTCCCTTTTCAAAAAAGTCATACCCCCTCCCCCCACGGGAAAATTCTTAAAAAAGACCCTGTATTCGATAATAGAGAATTCACAATTGGTATTTTCCTGTACTTGTTAAAAGCATTTGATACAATTAATCACAAGATTCTGACAGACAACACTATGGTATACGGGGAGTAGCTCAACTATGGTTTCAAAACTATTTGACAAACGGAAAGCAAATTATCAATTAATTTAATACAATCAAATTAGGTCAAAAGAGATGTTAATTCAAACTGGAGTCCCACAAGGATCAATTCTTGGACCTATGATTCTATTTTTACTATACTGTATATGAATGACATTGAAAATTGCAGTAAACTATACTTTCATTCGTATATTATTTGCAGATGATACTAATATATTAGTTATATCTTATAGTAACAAATGTATTAATTTCTCTCCTGAACAATATTCGTAGAGGTCAGTATGGACCTTTATCTTTGCTTGGCCGTATCTCAGGATTATTTTGGAAGTTGCAAACCAATTAATAGTAAGATGGTACTCTGATAGTCACTCACTTACACTTAACGGGAGTAAAGACGAAGAAATTAAAACTTGTTTGCGAGAATTAGCGAAGGAAGCAATAGACCATGACATGAATACATCAGATAGTAACTTTGAAAATCAAGAAGACTCTCCATGCCAAATTAAGTTTGATGGAGAGGACAAATCATTGGAAAATCAAGTCGATGTCTCAGCCAAAATTACTGCAGAAGATCTGACAATGATCTTGGAAAAAATCGAGAAAATTGAGCAGAAACTAGAACGCAAAATTGATGATATATCTCTCGAAGTATGCAAATTTCAAGATGCCGACAGCTTTGCATTAACATTGTCACGAGAGCATATCTCTTTTATTAAACATGAAAATGTACAGCTAAAAGCGGAAAATGTCCACTTAAAAAGAGAACAGGAAAATGCTACTCTTGTAATGTCGGATCTCAACGAGCATGTAAAGTTGATGGGAGAAGAAAAACAGAGCTTAATTACTGCATTAAAAATTCTGAAAAACAATGAAATTGATGATGGCATGAACAAAAGATGGCATATTGCATCGGATAGAAAACAACAGAAGGTCCCACAGTTCAGACCAATCGAAGTATCAACTGACAGTGAAGACAATTATCTTTCAACAAACAGATATTCGGAACTTACAGATGAAGCCCTATTAATTAAACGAGCAACAACTCGAAGAGACATCCCAAAAAACGAGCAACAAATTAAAGTGATATCCCAGCCAAGGACTAACCAAACAAACATGCCGCGGGGTCAACAATCAAGTAAACTGCCTGGTCAAAAACCAAGCAGACGCAAAAACAAAGCTAGCGATCAACGGGAACAACCAACCTCGTACCCAGGGTTCTCTTTCTGTGGCCGAGGGCTGAAGAGAACCCTGGCAAAGGCTGCAGAGCATTACGTAATAAGTTATTTTTTCCCCGGGGGGGTTATCAATTAGCAAGAACAGCCTGGTCGCAGGCTACTGTTCCGTTTCTGTTATTCATTGAATCGCTCATTCTATTTGATCGATGTGGCATCATTTATGGCACAGAATTTAGACATGATTTATGGCATGAAATGGCTCAATTGTATAAGATATTTATGCAGATGCTCGTAAACAATGTTGTTATGAAATGTGGTTGAATGATGAAAGGATAATATCTCAAATTTTGTATGTTCAAGAATTGTTAGAAAACTGGAAAGGGTGAGTATTTACAATTATTGTTAATACCTGTTCCACATTTAATACGCTGTTCCGAGCTTTAAAAAACTCAGCTGCTTGTACTTCTGCTCTTTTATTCAACTTTTGAATCATTCTTATGTATATTGACAATTGCATGAAAATGTATATGTGAGATCACAGTTGAAATACAAACAATTCACCTCCGAATACATATATTTTATAAAGATTACTTTGAAATATTGCCTTATTTTAGTAACACTGGCAACATATATAAATATAGTCTATACACAAATGAAAAATATAAATTATAAGGAGTCGTCTGAATGGTTAATTTTATGGAAATCAAAACTCACATATTGTCCTAATATTTAATTATAACATAATTCACTTTGAATTACTGTACATGTCATATTTATATATCATAATATACTGAAATCAACTATTTACAATTGCTTTCACTATTAGGCCTCATCAATGAGTGAGACTATAAACAACTGCAGTTACAATATTTTACAATGTATACAATCAACCAGAATTTTACAGTTATACAATTCTAACTGTTCACAATAACATTGTATTTCTCTCTTTTTCAGTAATCATGTCATTCTTACTCATTTCATGACTCATGTGGCATGTTTGTATTGCATGAGCAAACATTTATAACACTGATACAAGTGTGTCCATGTGGGAAAACTATCTTGTTTTGCTGGGTTCAATTCCTAGTGCACACTGAATGTATAATGCTACAATTTTTACAGACGATTATTTAAAGTTTTAGTGATATTATATTATACGTCATTAAATCTGTTAATTTACTGCAACTGGTACTGCACTGCTACACTGTGTTTAGTACATGTAGTATTATCGTAAACAGTCATACAAGACTTACTTTTAATATTTTACACATATTTATAATTTGGATGCAATTAACCTATTAAGTGCCAGTGCTCTCCATTTGACGAATAAACTTGTTTGGCATCACACAGAGTAAAATAATAAAGTATAGCTCATCGGTGGGTTAACTAGACACATAGCTCTCTCCTCTTCCAAGGATTCTATTGGCTATGATTACGATTAGTTTTGAGATACATTTCACTGCACTTTATACCTGTATGAGTGAATGAGTGCAGTTAGCCTATTACAGTAGATGCCAGCACTCTCGTTGATAAGTAAAATCATCTGGCATTAGAGTAAAGTAGTATGTCAATATAATTAGTAGGGCACATTAAGGGCACAATGGAACTCAATGGGTTAAGCATTACAAACATCACTGATAATTTTAAAAAATGCTTGTGCATGTGTGATGTCCCACATTTCAAATTCAGCAAACAATTCTTCAGCTGAATTGATCTTGTCACATTTTGAAACAATTAAGTCTATAAGTTCTATTGTTAACCCAGTACTGATGTCAATTCCTCCAAAGTTTGCACCAGATTTGCCAGCTTCAATTCTGTATTTCTTCAGTAATGCCTGTATACGTACTCGCTGCTCATCTGTAACAAGGCGAACAGGCTGGGGCTCAGGTTCTTCGCATAGTTTTCTATCAGTTTGGATTTGTAACTCCTTATTTGTTGCACAAGTTAAGCATTTGCAAACCTTAAAGCAGTTACTGCAACAAATGTGCCTTTCGTATTTCAATTTGATTTCACTTCCACATGATGCAGATCCCAGAAAAAACAGAAGTTCCTTTCTCAAACAATTGGTTTCTTGTAAGCAGAAATTTCGCATTTCAGTTGTCATCCCTGGTTTGTTAGTGGAAATATCTTGGCCATTGAAGAAAAGAGAGGCTCTTGCTGGTTTATTATCTCGTCCAGTTCTGCCAATTTCTTGGTAATAAGATTCCATAGTCCTTGGCACTCCAATATGTATGACATGTCTGACGTTAGGAATGTTAACACCGATTCCAATAGCAATTGTCGCAAACAAGA